GGGCAGGATAATCTTGTAATCTTCAGCGTTATCAAAGACAGACGTACCACGGCCTGACGCGGCCGTTTTTACCGCTCCGTCGGAGCTCATGATCGGCCACGCGCTCGCTCGGCAACGCGCGTGGCAATATCACTCGGCCACTTCCTCCCCTCCGTTTACAACTCTCTGTAACGCCGAATTAGAGCGCAGCTCTTGAGGAGGAGGAGAAGGGAAGGGTACTGAGGGTCACGTGTTCTCCGGGGGGGGGGGGGGGGTCACGTGACTTGGGGGTGTAGTCACATGACCTGATGGATTTAGCGGGGAAAATTTTCCGCGGTAAATCTAGCGGAAAAATTCACAGCTAAATCTAGCGGAAAAATTCACAGCTACATCTAGCGAAAAAAAAAAGAGATTTAGCGGGGAAATATTTCCGCTAAACTTAGCGGGGAAATTTTTCCGCTAGACTTAGCGAAGAAATTTTTCCACTAGATTTAGCGGGGAAATTTTTCCGCTAGATTTACGAGGGAAATTTTTCCGCTAAATTTGGCGGGGAAATTATTCAGCTAGATATAGCGGGGACATTTTTCCGCTAGATTTAGCGGAGAAATTTTTGCGCTAGATTTAGCGGGGAAATTACGGCTGCGTAACATGACGTCGCCGTCGCCGTCGCCGTCGCCTACGGCGACGCCGCTCAAGCCGGAAACGGGCGCCTAAGAGCTGCGCTCTAAAAACTGATGAAGCTATTTTTAATCCTAATCATCTTGAGCAGCTTAGGCGTTACCCAAGGCTTACGTAATTTTTTCTATGCCTTGAAAATGACGAAAGGAAAATGCAGGTTATAGATAGCGCTAAATATTGCTAGAAAAGAAACGTTGTAGCAGTTGACTGAATTCGTTGAAAAAAAATATGTTCCAAGGTGTGTCTTCAATTTCCTCTCTGAAGTCACGCAACTGATCACGGGTTAAAAGCAGCATTTGAAACGGAAGAATAAAGTAACTTAAGTTTTTCTTGGAGCTTTCCTTGTGCAAAAATGTAAGTGGGAAGATGATCATTCATACCTGCAGGACTGCCAGATGACAATATCGACTTGTCATAGTTCGTTATAAATAAATCTAGCAAAGAACATGACGCGTCTGTTACTCTAGTAGGTTGTTTAATAACATTGCTGAAACCAAATCAGAAAACGAGTGTAGAAAGTTGGACAAGTTGGGCTTGTAGCGCTATTTAATCGTTAGAAAACGAGTGCTTAGAGCTGCAGTCAGAAGACATATTGTTATTAAAGGGGTACGGAAACGAAATTTTAGCGCCGGTCTTTTTGCATAAATGTGGGCTAGGGACAGGCACAACCTCGATATTATCAATATCCCGCTGGAAAACACAGGAGAACTCATTTTAAACCTAATTAAACGATTTCAAATTCACATCTGGTGGATGGTGGGAAAGTTCTGGTGACATCACTTGTGGCATAGGAGCAGCGCCGTTCTGCGGCAATACGGCGTGCCGGCAGAATAAGCCTTGGCCTAAACGCGTTTGCAAAGCCTTGGCGGAGAAAGCCAAAGCGTAGTTGGCCAGTGTGAGCTCGTTCTCGTTGCGGCTTTTTGCACGACACGACCCGAGCATGCTTCTGGCACGGCCGGTATTAGTTGCTGCGAGTCGCGAGCTGCGAGCCGACGTTAAAAAAAAATATGAACTACGAGAGTGTCAGCAAGAGCCACGCAAATACCTGCTCACACTGGGGGCGGACACGCGCGTTTGATCGAAGTGCTGGATTCGCTCGGTTAGACCGCGTTTCGGTAAGCGCTTCTGGACCGATCTTTTATGATTGCAATTCGATACTGACATGAGACTCGGCAAAGAAAGGTTGGATCGACATCGCGTAGCTCCCACGAACTGCTATAGCTCGTAAGTGACGTAGCGTCGTGTCAGAATAAAAATGGCATACTAATAACAAAGTGTACATACCGTGTTGCGAAGGTAATCCATATGGCGTTTATTTGAGCTCTATATCACACAAAACAAGGAAATAAAATCAATGAGAGTCCCTTTTCGACGACAGCGTTCGTCACCGCTGTCTCGAAAAACAAGGAGATCGAGATGACAAGGGGAAAAGTTTGACCTCTGAAATTTAGTTCAGGGATCAAACAATTCATCCGAGAAGGGTCCACAAGGGTCGCGCGGGCATATTCCATTCAGCAGGCCAGCCGGTCATGGGCAGACGGTCTTGGCCAAGGACCGCCGGAGGAACGGTGCGCCGAGTCGGTGTTGCTGCTAGGCCTACTATATTCTGCTGAGCTCGCTTGGTCGGTAGAATCGTGGCCGTTGTAGCTCTTCTCGGGTGTTTGTGGATCCTGCGTTCTTGATTGTCGTGGTCTGTTTCAGGTACTCCTTCCTTTTTTCTTGCTGGTTGAAGTCGGGACGCACGAGAAGAGCACGTAGAAAAATAAATGTCTGTTGGTCGTCGCTACCATGTAACTGAGCGACGCTGTCGGCCCTGTTGATTTGATCGTAGTAAGTGCGTAAGACAGCTTCGAAGCTGTAGTAGGATTCTGTCGTAACCTGCGCAAAAGTTGCGACAATTTCGTTTCGAACATACGGGTTTTCTCTCAAATTTGTCGTACGCACTTTTTTTGTCGTGAGTTCGCTTTGAGAATCTGGCCTCGGAGCTGACTTTGTCAGTGGTGCCGTGGTCGCCGACTTGCCGTGTGCAGCGCGCGTGCAGCCCTTGCACATCTCAAACGGCCACGTTGTCACAGGTCGTAAATCGCCGTCGCGCCACCAAGTGGCAACGCTCGTAACCACAACATCCACGCCGTAGCCTTTCCCGTCTGGCACAAGTGACGTCACGAATGCGCCCATATATTCCAAGACGCATCGCGCTCTCCGATGACTGATTTTTGAGCGGCCGCCCAATCGGGCCCCTCAGGGTGAAAAATATAGCTGGGTGATTTCAGTCAGATAAGATCGACCAAAGGATGGCTAGTCGACATTTTCAAATCAACTGATGTTTTTATATGTTATTGTCTAGTGTCTGGTATGAACGAATCCAAACTTAGTTTTGACTAGAAAAAATACTTGGGGACAGGAAAAATCGTAAGGCATGAGGTGGTGGACAGTTGCATTAACGCGCACTGATGGAGGGGGCCCGTTTGAGAGTGAATAACTAAAGCGATAACATTAGAAGAACTCTAATACGTTTTAGGCGCAAACTATGGGTATAGCTTGCTTGTAATATAAAGTAATAATATTTATTTAAAATTTATTTATTTTTCTAAAAATTGACAAACATGCCTGCTCGAACGACAAATGGCAAACTTTGGAGGTCTGTATCTCATGAAATAATTTAATCATTATGATATAATTTGCCGATATTATTCTACTAATATATAGCTAATATTTAAAAAATAACTAAGGTATCTGTGTGATACAATAGTTAGGATATATTTAGTCAAACATGGAAAAAAAATCAAACAAAGAAAAATTCCGATGCGAATAAAAAAAAAAACACCACCATCGATTTTTTTTTAAATTTAGGTAACCTGTTATACTCTATTTCGGCATTCATTTCCATTAAAAACATGTTGCATCCTTTTATTGAGAAAGAAGATACAACTCCCCAAAGTAGGGTCCTTTTTCAAAGCCTACACTTAGCAGTGTTTTATAAAAGAACTGACTCTGAGTTCCAGTTTCATGAAACCAACACACATCTTTTATATATTTTTATTCAGATGAGGCCAATGATAACTAAAGAAATCGTTCACACACTTAAATTAAGGAGAAACAACTGTGCACAAAGAGGTATCATATTACGGACTAGTGATCCGAGAAAAGATCATGCAGCCATCGGCCACTAGGAACTTTGTTTACTTTATTCTCCTGCGACACTATATGCTATTCCCTCTTCCGCTCTACTTTCATCTCTCTCTCTCTCTCTCTCATATATAGCCCTGATATATATCCAGAACAAAAACATGTTCAAGCATTCCCTTTCTGCGTGGTAGTGTTCTGTCGCTAGCAAAAATCATTTCCTCGCTAAGCTCACGATTATGGCAAAATAGTTGCCGGAAACCGCAGACGACACTCGTCGCTAGTTCTGGCAAAACGGCCGATACAATCTTTTTTTCGCATTTCCCCGCTCGCTGTCAAGGACAAGGGGGTTCGCTTCAACCAGCAAAACATGGCCGCCGACGCCTGTTTACTGAGCAGTCATGCCTGTCGCCATCTCACTCGCTGGCGTCACGGGCGATATTATCAGGCACAAAGGGGCACACCAACCGGCAGCATTATCCCCAAATACTCGAGCCTCGCGTAAATACATAGAGTGTAAACGCTGTCGCCATGTTATCGTAGTAAGACCGCCCCCCCCTCCCCCAACGGGGGACTGCAGTACGCGACGGCGTACTAACACAACCCTACTGAAAAAAACCATATGAATTTTCCATACGGGTCTTCATATAGCGTTATGGGATACGGGTCATACGGTTGGTACGGGTCATACGGTTGGTACGGGTCATATGGTTGGTACGGGTCATATGGTTCGTATGGGTCATATGGTTCATACGGTTGGTACGGGTCATATGGTTCATACGGTTGGTACGGGTCATATGGTTGATACGGGTTGGTACGGTTTGTATGGTCCATATGGTTTGTATGGCCTATGGTTGTTATGGATGATATTGTTCATGCAGTTTAAATCATTGATATGATCTATAGGCCAACGCACTATTTACCAACAAGCTTTCACGAGGTGTGAACAAATTCAGTTTCTACACGAGGTGCAAGCACTGCGTGTGCACAAGAACGACATTCACGTGACGTAAAGCGTCTGCACATGCGCCCTAACAGTAGCAGCGCCACCGTAGCAACGTGACGTCAGAGCCGCGTATTGGTGTATATCGATCGTATTAACCACATGGTTCACTCATCAGTGAAACATGAAGTTCAGCAGGGAAACACTTTCCTTTTAAAGCCTATGCAAGATAGAAGAAAGTGCATGCACAGAGAAATGCTCGAACTTCGAGAAATTGTGAACATGCATTCCACCCGCAGGCTCGTTTATTTGTCCTCCAGTCTCAGACTTTGAAGTAGCTCGTGCATGCTAATGAGGCAATTCTTTGAGGCGAGCTGCATCTGCTTTCCCAGTTGGTCACAGGCTGACGCACCTCCGACGGGCATCTGAAAGTAATGTAAACAAAACCGACAGTCACATTACATGTTCTCGTCAAATAGTTTGTACAATATCTATCTAGTCAGTAAACCCTTTTCAAAAGTCTATCAAGCAACAATGGCTGTCAGTATTGCTTGCTCACGAAGTGCGTGACTGGATCTGAGTTCTCGCTGAACGCTGACGCAGGGCTCGCTTTCAGTATATGCTCAGAGTATGAGAGCAAGCAATGGCGGACAGGCGTTCGCACTGACGTTGGAAAAGGGTCTATTGACTTAAATTTTATGACTGACCTAATATTTAAAATCATCTACCTTCTGCAACTTTCACATTTTGAAAACAATCACAAACATTTATCAAGGCAATACATCACCGCATGACGGAAAATACATAACATACAACTTTCGTCAACTTACATAGCATACAACTTTCGTCACCACGGGACGTCTCTGCAGTCTCCCGGGACGCAGACCTCCCACGTGGTCACACCCCGGTCCAAGCATCCCTCTCGTCCCGTTTCCCAGAAGAACGCAGGAACAGGCAGCTGTCCCGATCATACGCCAAGACCCAAACGTCTCCACTTGTCTCCATTGTTCGTTAGCACCCGGTCCGAAGGCTGAGGAAGCGGGCCTCTGTTTCTCAGCGGGGTGTCAGGGGGGTCAGCTCCCGCTGTGCCGGGTGGCCCGCTCGGCGTCGCTCGGAAGCTGCACCCCACCCACGCCGCGTCGGTCAGCATGTTCGGCGGCGCCAGAATGCCGAGCCCGAGACTCTGGTCAGTCGATGGGAGGTCGATGGCGCTGCCAGGAAGCCGAACCTGCTCTCTGGGTGGCCGATCATAACAGAATGCATCCACCAGGTGCACATTGAAAGTCGTTTATTTAGCTCTAAAATTAGTTTTCTTGTGCTTTTCAACGGAAGACTGGTGATTTTGAGGTTAGGGTGCAACATGCAACACATTAAAGCTAGAAAATGAGCGCTGAAATTTCGTTTCCCTACACCTTTAATGGAAGTGTAGCCACATAATCTTAGTATAGTATAAATAATAAATTATTCTATGCATGGACAGGAACGTTTAGTTAAGTAAGTCATCCCTGCAGTCCATTAAGCACAAAATTTTAGTTTAGACTAGACAAATGTAAGCCAGAAACACTCAAATCCTGGAATTCATAAGGAAATAACTTTATTTGTGCTTACTGCAGACTTATTTTTCGCGGGCTCCATATTTCGCAATTAAGGTCGAAGCTGAAGTTTTGAAATAATTTGCGGGTTCTAATTTTCGCGATGCAGTGGGATGTCCATATAGATTCCAATGTGTTTACACTTTACCGGAATTGTTTACGGGACCTACTTTTTCAGCAGTTGTAGGCGATTCGTAAAAACGATTCGACAGCAATCTCAACCAAGCGATTCGACAGCGACCTCAACCATGGGGTTGCTGTCACGTGCCTTGCTTCGACGCTCTTATTGGGTCGGGAAGGCCGCAGCCTCCACAGCTCGTCAAGTTATCGTGAAACACAGAGTATAGTTGCTGCACTCGGAGTAAGGGTAAAGGACCGCAAACTCAACATGCCCAGCACCTGGAAGAAGGCATAGGACATACACCTCGAGGTTAAAGGGATACTGAACTGAAATTTCGAACTCGCAAAACAAGGCTGGACAGATAGGCGGGACGTTGCAAAACCCAAGAACATCACTCATACAGCGATATCTCTAACGGATCGCCATATTTTTAGAAAAGAAGTGCCCGGCCGAGGAGACCGACGAGACAAGGCACGTCACGATTCTCATTCCGTCTCCTCCTCGCTACGTCCCGTGTCAAGCTGGTGAACCGAAGCGAAGAGGAGAGAAGCGAGGCCGCTTCCCCTCATTCTCAAATTCTCCCGGAGGACAGTGATGTCAAAGACCTCGCTTGATCGTGCCCTTCTTTTCCAAAAGTGCAGCGATCTGTTTGAGACATCGATGTACGAGTAATGTTTTGGAGTTCGTAGAGTCCTGTTCAACGCCTCTAGAGCCTTATTTCGCGAAATTCAAATTTCGGTTCAGTATCCCTTTAACAAGCCACACGCCAGATAAGGTGCTCCATCTGTGTTTAATGGTTCCAGAAATCTATCGATGCCCTTGCACCAGCGGAGTTGAATCGTTCATTATGAAAAGCAAACCAACAAAACTGCATGATGTTTGGCAAAAATAGGTTACAGCCTGTGCTTTTGATTTGGAACTTCAGAAAGATGAGCTCAATTCTCTGGAAATTAGAAACTATGTATATTCTGAAAGAATTACTGTTCTGCATATCAAGGTTGTCTCGTTAAAATAAAAAAATAAATACCAGAAAAAAAGTACTAACCTGATATGCACCTATGAAGTCTTGTTTTGGCTAGCAGTGACCGGCCCTGGTTAGCAATGACTCCATGTCCCCAGGATTGAAATGATGGTTAAGTAACGTCCACCCCTTATGCACTTTTTGGTACAACTGGAAGAGACAAAGCATCTTGTTAAAAATTACCAATCCTTTTCACGAGCGAATTTTGCAGTTCATGCTTCCTGAAAGTCATTTCCCACAAGTGTTAAATTAGAACAATGAGAGCAAAGTAGACTTGTTGGGACACACGTGTCAAATAATTAATTTTACGTGAAAAAAAAATTGGTCAGAGCAATATTGACGGCGCGAGACGCAATTTAGTCGGTAGTCACCTCCCTTCCACCCGTTTCCTCTGGGCACTTTGAGCGAGTAGAGGAGAGGGAGATCAGCTTCGCCTTCGTGTTGAGGTGGCGAGAGCGAATGACCATTCCGGGACGTCATGGACTTTGCGCGCAGAATTTAAAATAAATCTCTTGCCGTCAATATTGCTCTAAAAAATTAATTATTTTCACATAAAATTTATTTTTTGGCACGAGTGTCCTTATCAGACTGTTCAAAAAACTTTATTTTTTTCCAGGGGCCCTTTAAGAGGTGTTTGCCTGATATGCATCAGTGGAATCAGGTATTGACTAGCAATGACTTATTGCCCCCGTGACTGAAGTGCTGTTTCAGTAAAGTGCCGTTCACACTCTTGTGACCGAGTAAGACCGAGAGAGACCAGACCGGTTTTTAAGCCTTTTGCGAGTTCTTAGGACGGGATGTGCCAGAACGCAGCTGGTCCTAAGAGATTGCAAGTGGCTTGAAAACCGGTCTCGTCTCTCATGGTCGTACTCGGTTGCAAGAGTGTGAACGGGCCTTAATGCTTCCTGCACAAAAAATTCAAATGTAAGAACACAAGCCCCAAAATGTTTGTGCCATTTTCCTCCCCCTACTTTTCTGTGCATTTTTTTTTTATCCCTTGGCAAATCCTAAAGAATTCAAAATGCTTATCCTACATCCCTCCGTTAGACTGAGTGGGTAACCCGGAGAATTCATTGTTTGTGAGAACACTTTTCCATTCACCCCATGCTGTTCTTGAAAGCAGAAACTCCTCTCTCTTAACCACAGTCATTAAGCACTTTTCATAGACCATGCACACAAGGTTGGCAATGCCAGCACAAGCTCATGTCTTCACTTTGAGCATGGATTAAGCATATATAACTAAATCTGAGACACCGGAAGAAGGAAAAAGGAGGACACAAAAAAGAGGACGACACACATAATGTCTCGAACACAGCTGCAGGTTAATTCTAAAACCACACCATTTTATAGGGGTAAACCGCAGTCAATGCCAAGAACCCTCACACTAAGTCACACCCCCAGATTGTCAGCAAGGGGGAAAAAAGAACTGCCCTCAACGTTCCCACACTGGCCAAAGTCAACCCACCGACTAAGAAGTAAAAAAAAAAATGCAGCTGTGGTTGAGACGTGTTGTGTTTGATGTTCTCTTTTTCGCGTCCTTCTTCCGGTGTCTCAGGTTTAGTTATGTATGCAATTCACCACCCTTGCCTGTACTTTTACTCTTCTCTCAATTAAGCATACGCCTGCAATTCGTAATATCTGATCTATGGAAAGTCTCTGATCCACCAAGCCTTTTCCATTATGAGCAGGCATTATTTATAAAAACCTCCTTTCATTACATTGTTTCAGAGAACAATTGTTCTTTCTTAATTAGGATCAACTGATCATATTAGGATAATTGCCAAATAATGGCAAATTCACATGATACATCGAATTGCAATTTTCATCCGTGCACCATTTGTCAAGTTACCATCATGTAGGCTATTCCTGAGATTTGTCCCTCGTCCGCGGACACTCATACTGAAAGGGCAGAGTGCCTTCTTAATCGCAGATTTTTGGCAAGTGAGTTACTCGAAAAGCGTTTTTATGGTAGAGTAGCAACAGCTCACGAATATTTTTGTTTTCAAATCGGTCAAACAAAGAGAGTGGATCATTGCTTTGTCGCGCCACTCTTAAATCTCCACGCGTGAAAGAAGCTGCAAGAACTTTGCCCAGCTGACACGGCACAGGTCCTGGTACTCCTCCGGGTTGGTGTCAAAAAGCTTGTCAAAACTCGCCTAGCATGCTGCAATCTTTCCTGCAGATCCACCCAGTTTTCCATCCAGCAAGACCTTTCTTATGGCTTGTGCTGAAGAGTGGTGCACAAGCGAGCAGTGTGTAAAGGTATTTCCAAATGCCTCTCCGCGACCCCAGGACTTCATCGCTATGATGCTGAAGCCTCCTGAAGCAGGATCATACTTGTGTCATGTCGTTAGTAAAGTAAGTGACACTTCGCTCTAAGCCTGCCACTGTGTTTTAGCCCACTTGGTATGTAACAGCGGCACACAACGATTCCTTTTCATGATAGCACCGTTATCCTAGTCGCAAACATCACTTCTGCTCTTGGAAAACAGTGCCACACTGCGATGTAGGCGTTTTGCAAAATTGCAAGGCTGCGAATAGGTATAGTATGTCCTCGCTGTCGCCTGCTCGTCTCCTTAGTGTGGATGCGCTTGGGGGACTAACGTTCCATGGACGTCTTGTCACTTGATAAACCCATCCGCGGATTAGCACGTCGTGTAAATCAGCCATAGATGGACTGCGGAGTCTGCAATCACTTAACATTTTTCTTGACGTTGCCTGCACGTCATGAAAATGTGTTTCGTATCCAATTAGATATTCTCGAAGAAACAAGGAAACTGCATAATGATGTCGCACAATATTCACCTTAACCACTTAACCGGTTTTTGTTTTACAGTTTTTCATCCTAAATTTTTTTTTTTTTTCCCTTTTCTAAAGCTTGTGCGGCTTGGGCCGCACGTGACTCCACAATCGGTCGCCATCCTTAAAAACGTGTACAATAAAAATATGCGTGCTGCCATCTCTCAGCAGCACCGCAAAATAAGCTCGGAGCGGGCCTGGGACGTCCAAAACAGCCAAGGGGCAAGGTAGAATGCGTGGACGTGCTACATTCCTCCTAAATGCCTAGGGAACGGCTCTAGGTGGAAGAGCTAGGCTTGCTTAAAACAGTTAAAGGACACATGCAAAGAAAGCAAACTTTTTTTTTAAACAGCCGGATTAGGAAAAGGAAGTCATAAAACAAATTTACAACGAAAAAGAAAAATTTTTAGAGCTATATTTACGGCGCTAAACGAATTTGTAGTTGGCGCCCGCGGGCACCGCGGAGAAGTGGCCCTTATTTATCACGTGATTGGCCGCTATTTGTCACATGGTACCGTAAAATACCGAGCAAGCGCCCACTCAAACTTTAGAGATAATCGTGAAAAAATCGGGGATGGGCCCTTCTTCGCTCATCAATTTTACATATAAATGTACTTTGTGTATTTTCTCAGATCCTACAAATTTGGGAATGGGCGCTTAGTGTGGTGTGGGCGGATGCACAGTATTCTACGGTACTTGCACTCTTTCGGATGCTTCGTATGGTCTCGAAAAGTTACTTATTCATCTTCGTTTGAAGTGCAACAAAAAACAAAGATTAATAAGTTACTTTTAGAGCCCAAAGGAAGCTCCTGAAAAAGCGCAAGCAGACGTGATAAACCTGTGCACCGGTAAGATGACGGCGGCGGCACCCCAGAGCACACAAACTTGCACGACGACGGCGGCGCCGCCGTGGAGAAATGCATTGGAGCGGCAGCGCACAGTGCTCAGCATGCGGCGGCAGCGGGTCTCCGCGGCTTCGGCGACACAGCGCGGCGGTGCACAGGTCTAACACGTGGCCAGCGACGGCTCTCACGGGCGCCAACTACAAATTCGTTTTGCGCCATAAATATAGCTCTAAAAATTGTATTTTTTCGTTGTAAATTTGTTCTAAAGCAGTCTTTTTCCATCAAGGCTGTTTTAAAAAAAAACAATGTTTTTTTTCCTTTGCATGTGTTTTTTAAGGGTTTAAGGAGCTGCAGTACCTTCCATGTCATTGAATCTTATGTAGTAGTATATGATTCTAAGTCACAAGACTAGGTTACAGAAAGTAACAAGAAAAAGGAAGACAGGACATCATATTGTTTCATATTCTAATTTTTTCATCAGTCCCGTATTAAAAGGTTTTCATAATAAAACTTGCACTTGTATTTTATCTACACTTCTCTTTCTCACAACATCCTGTCTACCAAATGGACCAGCGAAGTAAACTCCCCCCCCCCACACATACACACAATGCACAATTGAAATTTCTGGACACAATATTCCATGAATATATTGGGCATCTGAACCAAGCTGAAGAAAAATTTTTGGTCTGAGGAAATAAAGGGTTACAAAACTGAAAAACATAGCAGTAGCATACTTCTCACTTTAGCACGTGTAGAAGAACCATTCATTTCTATTAGAAAGGTAGAAAAGCCAAAGGCTCAGGTTACTCACCGACAGCAACTACCAGGAAAGCAGGGGGGCATGATTGTGGAGGCAGCTGGTCTCCAATGCTTGTGCCTTTCTGAAAATTGGAAGTAAGACTTTTAAAGCAAAATGACCCCAACTATTGCCACAAAACATTCTTTCATTCCATTTCTCGTATCAAAAAAGTTGGTATGAGGAACTTTGCCGGGCTGACACGGTGCAGATTCTGGTATTCATCTGCGTCAAAAAGCTCCTGTCAAATCGTGTCTAGAACGACGGAAGCGCTTTGCATCTCCAATGAACCGTTCAGCCAGCAAGACCTTTCTTGTAGGGGTGTCACAAACCAGCCGACGTTCGAGTTTGACCAGGTTCGACTTTTTCCAACTTCTTGCGAAAAGTTAGAAAAATGTTCGACTGCTGTTCGCACGCGCGACATGCTGGCCAGTTGGCTTCGGATTGGATGGTGATGGCTAAGGGATGAATTAAGGGCAGCAGCTATTGGTTATTCCAGTTAATACAGTATAAAAAAGTAAGTTATTAACTTGTTCAGTAGTTAGAGTTAGTTTCTTTTATTTGCAACTGTTTATAAAATTAAAATAACCTTTTGAGTGAAACACAATTTTTGTAGACCTAGACATGCTTGTATCATGGCCTTGCCACGCTGTCCACAAAGTCGAACAAGTCAAATCTGGTTAAAAGTTTCGAAGGTTTGACGAACCGGTTTGACACAGTCGAACCCCAAATGCTCGACCTAAAAATCCGATTTGCCAAACGTTCGCGGCACCCCTACTTTCTTGTGGCTGTGGTGTATTGAAGGCGCAAGCACGGAGTGAGTGAAGGCGTCTCCAAATGCCCCGTGGCGAGCCCAGGACTTCGTCGCTTCTACGCCAAAGTCTCCTCGAGTAGGACTACGCTTGTGTTTTTATCATGACTCTGTTTAGTAAAGCTAATGGTGCTTCGCACTAAGCCTATCATTGTGTTAAGTCTCCCTCTGCACGTAACAGTGGCGCAGAGTTCTTTTTTTAAAGTAGAAAATGTTGATTTCGATTTGTGACAACTGTGTCACAGTGTGATCGCACAATGTTAGAGTTTCTCAGCAGTGTGGGGCCGCGAACATGTTTGGTACGTCCTGCCTGTCGTTTGTGAGTGTGCTCCTTTGTGTGGATCAGTTCGTCGTATGAATCAGCCATCAATGAAGAGTGCTGTTCATTTTGAATTTGATATAAATTAACTGAGCAGCACCATTTTGTAGGATGGCTAACCCGCCTAAAACCCCCTGATGTGTTTGTGTTAGTTTTGGAACTGGCGTGTAAGTGCCAGTGCACGAGGCCCATGCAGCACTTGTAAGCAAATGGCAATATAGCCCTGAAAGGAGAGGTACTTAGAAGTGAATTCTTTGCAGCTCGGCATAAAGCTATCTCGCCTCTGCCTCCTTCATAAAGTCGACTATCATTGCCCCGACCTCAAGAACTCTTTATCACCACCTCCGGAATGAACATCATCTTGTATTTCCAGTTCCACAAACGCACTCAATCAGTCTTTCCTTTCTCAAGCCATCTGCGACTGGAACAGCCTACCATCCACCATCGTAATCCCAGAAGTATTTCTAGCAAGCTTACGGATTCATTTTTCTTGTTAAAAGTATTTTATTGCCACTGTGTATGATTAATGAGCTTCCTTTTCTTGTTTGTCTTTATTTGTATAACAATGGCACGTAAGTGCCAGTGCACGAGTTGCACACTGCACGAATCCTGACCATGCCCTTAAGGTGAAAATAAATGAAATGAAATGATTGGCAACACAGCACTCACTCATGGCACGTCTCTCTCGCATTCGCACAATAAAGGCTGAAACGCATGTAAGCGGTTTAGCAAGCAACGAGACGAGCAACTGAGACTTGTCACTGTAGCTCGGTTTTTGGATTTCTAGAAAATGTCGCTCAATTACTTGACTGCTTGCTCCCGTCGCTTTCAAGCGATTACCTTGTCGCGAGATTGACTGAGTGATAGCAAAATGGTTGCCATTGCTTGTCTCTTCGCTCGCTCAATCGCTTACACGTAATTTATACTTTTTGGCTGTTGGTGCTTGCAAAAATGTAAAGCGTGAATTTTATCAAAGGCTTTGTTCTCGCTGACTCTCAGACTGCTGCGAAAACTTTGGGTTCCAGTGAAATAAGACCACGTGATTTCTTACTTTGCTTATGAACTGAGGAGGCAGTAGCTTGAAAATCAGCTCATGGTCTCCTCAAGTTGTTTGGAACACCTTTTTTTTCTGTTTTCTTTGGCACTACTCAATGCGCGTTTTTTTTCTCCCGACCTTCACAATAAAGTATTGCCAGAGGGTTAGTAAATGAGCGCTACATATGCAGCACTTTGTATAAAAAGTCCGTGCCACAGTCGAAAAATAACTCCTTATACTCTTCGCAAGCAACGTCACCAATACAGACGGTACTTCCAAAGGCGCAGGTCACGCAATATTTCGAGTAGTTTCCCAGGACGAAAATCGAACTTGGATCCGACCTCCCACAGTGGAAACAAACGGGGTGCAAATACGAGCGCTAGGACGCAAACTGGTACCTTCAGCAGTCATGGGTTCCGCAAAACACACCGCCTAGCTAGGTGGTACCAAGCCGCCACCCGATTTGCAGGACTCAAGCCTTGAACACCGATCTAAGAGATAAAGCTCCCCGATCACTCACCAAGCGCCTCGCTCGGCGCCCCACGCCCCCGTGGGAACTTGCCTCTGGGTCCGTTCCCGCCATTTGACTGCTCGCTCAGTGACAGGTCGGTTCCGGTACTTCCTTGGAAAAAGCTTGAGGGTCATCCAATGCGCAAAGAATGTGTGCGACAAGGAACCGCACACGTCCGCTTTCACGCTGCCTGCACACACAAGAACACGCCATACACGCTCCGAAAAGAAAGGGCTGGAAAAGTACTCACCAAGTAGACTGAAACCCACAGCTGGCTCTATGGGCACGCCGGCACCTGGGACACTTTGTTTCTTCAAGAACGTTCTTCGATGTTTCTCCGTAAGCCTAAAGGCCTGAAACCGCCCGAAATACGGTGGCCCGAGAGTTTGCAGCTTGGTTTGTTTTTGATTTTGGTGACGATGGCGATGGCGATGCGGCGACGTTCGCTGGTTTGACGACAGGTGTTACGACGAAACTCATTTGACGCAACGTAAATGTTCCTGTTTTAATCGACTTACATTACAAATTTTAAACATAAATAAAAACTGTTTCAACATTTATATATTTATTTGTAATAAAGTATGCGTGTACTAAACTAAAGCTTGGCCTGGCTCAGCCTCGTTTTATTTTAACATGGCGGCGACAATCGTCTCTGTTTGTGCTCTGTGCCGTGCTTGATCGTCCTGTTATCCACCTCTTGCGATCCGCATCAGCCGCAGGCGTGCTGTCTAAGTATTGTGTGCCCGCCGGAAAGAATATCCAGTCTTCTCGGAGGCAAGGCTGCAACTAGGGCTTCTCGGATCGTGGCTCGGACTCCGCGAGCCTCACTTCGTCTGCTTGGTTCCTGCACGTTTCCGGCGTCGGATCCCCCAGCCTTGGCCTCAGCCCTACATGACCTAGCTGGTGAAAGACAATCTACGACAACCCGGCGTCTTTGGAATGCGATTACTACGATTAGTGGCTCTTAAAAACTCGGTAACCCCCCTTCAGTGGTGAGCTCTTCGATGTGAATGGTGTTACCTTCACAGTGTCCCGACGCTCCGAACGGTCATTCTACAGGTGACGCTGCGAGACGCGAGCCTTCTGTGTTGCTTCAACTCTCAGTGTAATTCTCAAAATGGGCACTTGGTCCCGAATAAGCTGATGCACCTTTACTCACTCTCGAGACTCATCCCACGACGGTTCTAGCGGTACGTAAAACGTGGATGCACGATTCGGTTTATGGCGGTCACCTTGTCGATTGATACAGTGGAGAACACTGCTTACAGAAAGGATCGTTCTAAGAAGTGTAGAGCTGTGCTGGTCCTGGTACCTTTCCGATTACCCTTTTGGCGACGCCGTAACCTGGAGTATGAACCTCCCACAAGCATGGCAAGGTGCTGTTATGCTGCGAGTTCTGCCCCGCCTTTCGTGAAAGCTGAGTCCTACGGCTTGCCCAGCGAGCCACTGGTGCTCATTAACGCGAATTAAATGTGTGCATACTAGAACTCTTGAAGTTGAGTCGCTCAGAGTGCAGTACATACCATGGAACCATTTCCAGTGGCCCAAGTGCTGGACAGTTCCGTGAGACAGTGTGCCCAGTCCAATTGTTCTCAACATATTTATTAATCATAATAATGCCTCTCTGCAATCGACTCCACTGCTGTTACGGACAACCGGATGTTGGTGCCGCTTATCAGGTGACCCCAGAAACCACGAGGGTTTGCAGAACAACATTGAGAAGGTCTGCAATAAACATTCAGCTACATTTCTTCTCACAGCATGTCAACAATTTTGTCCGAAACGTGTGGAACGCTGAATTTTGTACTTCGCATGCCTAGTAGAACAGGCCATAACACACTTAGGTGCCTTTCACAGCCTTGGTCCTGCAACACCTAGAGTACTGCAGCTTCATACAAAACTCCAATGAGGTTTATCTTGTAAGATCAGTTGAAAGTGTTCACCAAAGGGCAACCCAGTACCAAAGGGTACTGGGTTAAGTGCCTCCTTGCACTTAACCCAGTACCGCCCCGAGTCCTGCACTACTCGCTTCTGTGTGAATCTTGGTTTCTGCGTCCTATTCAAAGGGTCTAAGAACAGGAGAAGTCTAGAGTATTCGCTTCAGCCTGCGAATGCCTGCTGTTGCTCCTCGGCCCATTCAAACATCTCGGCATCTTTCGTAAGGTTTGTGAGCGATGCAGAAATCCTTGCGAAATCCCAAACAAACGTCGAAAGTAGGCCCAAAGTCCAAAGAATCTTTGCATGGCCTTTTTGTCTGTCTGCGCTGGAAATCCCGCGGCTGCACGAATTTTCTTGGGGCCTGGGCAGACGCCAATGTTACTAACCATGTGGCCTAGGAACATCAACTCGTCAGAGGCGAAAGAACAGTCTGACGGCTTGAGTGCGAGTCCGGCGGACTGCATGGCTTG